ATATACCTATATATATACCTATATATAGCACTCTTGACCTCACTCTAGTCCAAGGGCATATATGAGATCTATGGTGGGACGAGCTTGCCCAGAAGGAACATTTTCACTAAATTTTATTTTAAATTTTATTTATTACGACAAGAAGGTATATTTAGCCTGCGTAGCGTGGCGCCACGTAATGCAAATAGCTATTGCCTTTTTTCTTTTCCAGACGTTGATAACAAACACTCATGCATTTTAAAAATGAAGTAATAATAAGTTTAGTCTATTAGCATCAACAAAAAATTCGACCATCATCCATCCATCATTTTTAATAACAACAATAAATTGTAGAAAAATCATGAACATTCTTTCTCCTACGGGAACCTACATCATACGCAGGTGACAAAACTGTCAAAGTCGCGAAGTCGCGAGAAAACAACTAGTTTCGAATATGATACTGGTTCAATAATATAATATAATTAAATAGTGTTTATTTTGCTAGAAGCCTATTTATTCATAATTACTATCAAAAGCCTTTTACTATAATTTGTAATGTTATATTAATAATTGTGAGTTTATCTTTCTCAAATTGTTAATTATCGAATTGATTATATTTTTTTTAATATGATGTTCTGAAGGCGAGTTTTAAATTTTTTATACTATTTATTTCTATAGTTGATCACGTAAATTTTATTACAATAGGCACACGTTGTTGGATTATGGTTTATATTATTTAACTTGTTAATATCATTTGTAATCTAATTGATTTTAAAAAGTTATATGTAAATAATTAAAGAATATTTCTAATGATACAGTATTTTTAGTTTTATAATATTATTTTATTGTTCATGGCATTTTTTTTTTCATTTAAGCAATTTTTACTTAACTATCATATTAAGGTCAAATATGATGGTGTACCTAAAACCGCAAAAACAATAAAGTGTAATTTTATTCTGTTATTTGGAAGTCAAAGCGGATGAGGTTTCCTCTAGACTTAAATATTTCATAAAGTAATTAATGTCAATTGTTATTACTAACTTATAAATAACCAACTGTTTATCGGCAGTTCCTTCTGCTTTAATTGAAGACTGAATAATTATGTAGCTTTCCGCTAATGAAAACAAAATCTATCGAGCCATCTAGTTATTTACTAATATTATAAAGAGGAAAGATGTGATCGTTTGTTTGTTTGTATCAAATAAGCTCGAATGGCTGGGCTGATTTTAAAAATCTTTCACAGTCATAGTATTATTGAATGAAATCGCGAGAAAACTGCTAATTATAAAATAGAAGAAATATATATAGAATAAATTGGTAAAACATTTTGGCTAACTTATGTTAATAATAACCTTCTGTATTTATTATTCTGGTAGACCACCTCCAATATTGAATTGTAACAGTAATTAAGAAGGCACTGGCTCCCATTATACAGTTCAAACTAGTATGGGAGACAGGGCTCAAAGAATATTGTCATGTTATTGGAAATAAAGTTATTATTATTATTATATATATATATGTTACGGTAATTTTAAAATCCACTGATCTATAATCCACATGATACAATTACTAAGGAATGACCAGAATCCCTAAAACGTGTAGGTGATGTAAGAAATATTATTTATTTTATATTGTCTCTAAGTATTACTATACAATACAGCCGGCAATATGTGTAAAAAAATATGTCACGTCAACCTTTTTTTATCGGTCATGTGATTTCTATAGTCTTTAAAAAAATCAATTTAGTATGTTTTATTAAGATGATTTTAAGTAATGTAACATTTTTCATTTTTTTCGTCTTTTGTAGGCGGGCCGGTTAATATTGATATAGACCACGTTCTATTTATTTTTCCTCTTTTTGTTTGTTTATTATGTAATTATGTTTATTTATTAATTTATAAGTTTTTGTAATATTTTATCTCTGCTAGAATACCAGCGTTGGTGTGACACTCCTGTGTGTTACGCCAACATCAGATGAGGCAGAGTCCTGATTGGTCTCTTTTATATGAACTGTATGTACTGTCTTATTATTTTTCGTCCTCTGTGTATCATATTATGTATTTTTTAATGTAAGTTCTTGTTTTTTGTTTATAATTATGACATCAATAAATGTTTCTTCTTATTTATTTCACAGATTCCTCATAGAGCAGCTGGTACTCTATACATTACTAGATATTGTATAGAATACCTGAACTATACAGATTGATTTTTGCATATACACGATATAATAAATCTGTCCTATCAAAATTAAAAAAATATAACTCTTTCCTAACGAAATAATAAATCTGTCCTATTAAAATTGATAACTGTTTAAGAGTCGGTAGAATAATCCAAAAAAATGTGAAATGTGATCCGTTTGTGAATTTTGTTTTGGTACCGATTAAATCACGTTATAAAAAATATTATGGTACGAAAAATAAGGTGTCTTTGTAATTGTATTCCACCAAAATGTGCCAAATTACATAATAAAAACTTATTCTCATGGTTTCTATACTCATGGTATTTTTAACATATGCGACTTATCACCGTCACCCTATAACGCGAAAATAGTGTTTAAATTAATTCAGCTAAACATCGGGGCGTATTTGGGATTAAGCCGTTGGTCCCGAGGGACGAAAAAGTGGCCGAACTCCATCAACTTTCGGAGGGATTTGATTAAATCCTCACCCCTTCGCGTTGGCAGTAATTGATTGAAATAGTAGTTTTTTTCCCTTTTGACTTTAAGTGTCGAAGGAGATTGAAAGCGGCAAATACTTTTTAAGAGCTAAAATTTGCTAAGGATTTTCTACTTTTTAGTAGATGATTTTATAAGAAAATAAATGTCGAAAATATCGATCATATTGTTCTCTTATATAAAGATTTATACTGGTGAAAGAATTTTATAATTGGTCTAGTAGTTTTAAATCTTATCCATTTCAAACAAACAAATAATAAAATCCATCCTTTATAATATTATATAAATATAAACTAATCATCAACATTACACCTATCTAAAATTGAATATTGACACATTTATTTTACGGTTGCATATTAATGACTAAAAGAAATCACGCATAAATAACATTTTAATCTTTGGAAAATGCGCCAAATAATTTCTGCGGCAAGTAAAAAAAAAACATTGTTTGGCGATACAACACTTAAAGGTATCTACTCTAGTTGGACAAACGTAGGTTCAAATCATTTTTGTATTTTTGAAGTTTCCAATGTGTTGAAAAATATTCATCTTATAAAAAATCTATGTAAAATATTCAATCCTTTCGGGTACAACAAACAGGTTCTTTAAAAAACGGGTGAATTTATTTTATATTTTTCTGAGAGTAAATAAAACTGTTATCCACCAACTCAATTGTTGGTAATCATACTTTTTAGGTAACAGTCTCTAAAATACTCCTTAATACTTAAGTAACCATATCTTAAAAGATTATTGAATAATTTCTATTTTTGATGGCCGCCTAACAACACACTAAGTTTAAAAAGTTATATTCTTAAACAAATACTGTAATCATGAAAGTAATTACCTATTGCAAATAATAGAATACCCGCGATGTAAATATCTACCTTCGAAAAGCCACTAACTAAAAAAATATTATTGTGATTTCATTAAAAGAGCTAAATGTAGACAAAAGTTATTTTACTTGAAAAGATTGAGATTTTAAAATATGAGAATTTTGCAAGTCGCCATTTGTAACAATGAAGAAATGCACATTATTAGAACGTGAAGTTCTGTTTTTTTATTTGTAGAAAAAGAAAGTGTAATATGTAAAATCAGTTTAAAAAATATTCTTGTAATATTTTTTTCTTTTTAAAGACATTCTTATAACACTTGACATAGCTAAGAGCAAATTATGGATATTAGTTATTTCATTATAGATAATTCGTTTATTTAGTTTTACAAATTATGCGTACTATGTAGTATTAAAGTTTTATGCCTAAATAAATTTCGAACATTTATAATGACATTCAATAATTTTAATGTATTCAAAAATTTCATTTACATGGAGTGCGTTGAAGTCTTTTCTAGAGCTTCTTTATGAACATGTAAATTTTGACGATTATAAAATATTGACTTTATTTAGTTACTATTTTTTTCATAATATTTTATTACTACAATATTCAAACAATTATTTAAATAGAATATCATATGAAATGTTTTATGAATAATTCTAAATATATCAAGTATCTCACATAAGACATTATGCAAATATGAGGGTATGCAAATAATCACTTTTTATAATGTACCTACAATTAAAATGCACTCCTATTAATATTTAAATTATTATAAAATTGGGGGTTCGTTTTGGGAATATGGAACAAAACAGCATATACAATTTAACGCGTCGTTTATTGATAACTTCATCTTTTTCTTCAATATACCTTTGTGTCCACTGACTATATAACACTCACTGTACATTTTCGTATTACAATATTTTAGTCTTTCGAGGCTTCATTATAACTTTCGATTCGATATAACAAATATTTTGTACAACGCACGACGGGCGTAAGAGTGTGGCGTCGTGGCACGACTTATAAACTATCTACCTACATTACGGACTAACTTCGACTCTAGCTTTTAACACTATATTTACAAATTGTTCAAATTTTTTTTGGTATTCAAATTACCTCGATCACTACATCGTCTCTCACGCGAACTTCACGCATCACTCTCGCGTCCATCCGCACTGCACAGCTTAATATATTTTAACTTATTCCATGAAAAAATACAATAATCATAATATAATACAGGATAATTCATCAACAACATTAATTGAACTTTCGACCGTCGCCCGTCGGCAACTAGCCGGTAACTCGCTAAGTCAACAGTTTCCAACACTAACAGTGGTTGTTCATACAAAACAAATAATTGGACATACCTAGAAGTATGTACAGCCGGGAGATAACGATCACTGTCCTAAACGCGACAAACGATTCGCAACAAAGTCACTGGAGGCGACAACTGAGTGCGCGGCGACACATCCAGCTCAGAGCGGCGGGATGTCGATGTCGCACGCGAAGGGTGACTCTCAGATGAGCGGCATCACCCGCTCACCGGCGGCCGCGTATCGCTGCTCGTCCGGTACATGATACATGTTGATGATGTGGCTCAGGTCCTGTTGTCCGTACTCGCGCTTCATAGCCATCTGCTCGTGTGCGTGTGCGTGCGGTGCAAATTCTCGCTTAAGCTGTGCTGGCGGCTCATGTGCAAACTCGCGCTTCATACCCGGTGGGCCTGGTGATACGGGCTCTGATTTTGCCGATGAGCCGCTTGGCGAGTGTGATGCGCAAGACGGTGGCAGCGCGTAGCCGCCGGGAGATCCTGGTCCCATGCCATAAGCTGACGGTGATGGTGGCTGTGGCAGGTACGGCGAACCTTGTCCGCCACCGTAATAGCCACCTCCGTATCCTCCTTGTTGCATCTGTGACACATCATAACGCGGATAACCGTATGCTTGCTGTTGGTATGCACTAGGGTCATGCATCATGTATCCGTTAGGCATGTATCCATTTGGTGTCATTTGATACACATCGCGTGGTTGTTGAGCCGTCGGTGCAGAGGTACGTTGAGCATCTCCAGTGCCTAATAATGCTCCACCTCCTAACGGATATTTTTCTTGCTTTTTAGCGAGTGTCTTCGTCTTCCTTCTTGGTCTATATTTGTAATCTGGATGTTCCTTCATATGAACGGCTCGAAGTCTCTTCGCCTCGTCAATGAATGGTCGTTTCTCAGATTCAGAGAGATCTTTCCACTGTGCACCAAGACGTTTTGAAATTTCAGAATTATGCATCTTAGGATTGTCAGAAGCCATCTTCCTGCGCTGTCCACGCGACCACACCATGAATGCATTCATTGGACGCTTCACTCGGTCAGTATTTGAATTTTTACTGGTATTATTGTTGTTGTTATTAGGAGGCTGGTGGTGCGGCTGTGGAGGCTGCGCGTGGTGCTGCGGTAATTGTTGATGATGCAACGGCTGGTGTTGGGTCAAGGGTTGTTGTTGCGGCAGGGCCATCATGCCACCGAGCGCACCCAGCGAGCCGTAGCCATGCTGCAGCGCGTGGTGCGGCGGCACGGTGGCGTGCAGGCTGCCGCCTTTCAAGTCCGTCTCCATCGTCAACATGTCGTCTTCCTGAGGCGCGTACAGTTTGCCGATCCTTCGTTCACCGTGCACAACGAGAGAACTGTCGGACGCTCACATGGACTCGCGGCGGTACGCGTTCGGATAACGTTTCAATGGTCCGTACGGCGCGGAGGCTACGTGCGTTGTGAGAAGGCTCGGTCTCCGGGCGGCAGCGACGATGTATCCCTCCGCGCTCGTACCCCGGGCCCGCCCGCGTCTCTCTCCGCCAATAAGAGCGCGGGGCTCGGCCCCGCCCCTCCCGCTCTTCCCACCCGCCGCGGCCTGCATTTTTAATCGCGTGGCCTGCGAGCCGAGCGTACGCCTCGTCGCCGCCTCATGCAAATCTCAATTTTGTTTGCTAACGGTGCTTGCACCTCCTCGGCCTTAGTTTATGTTGTAAACAACACAGTACCCTTCCTCATACGTATAGCCTTGTGTTTGCGATTTAAAATTGCAAACTTTAATTTATATTCTCATTTCAATAGAAAAATGGTTCTCTAGCTCAATATTCTACTAACGAATAAAGATGTCTCACGATGATATGTAGAAACGTTATTAACTATTATTTGTGTCATGTGTTTAAATGTTCCTAAGTTCCGAAAATCTCAAATTATATGATTTATGTTTCATTGACTTTTCTATCGGTAATTCTCGTACGATTTCTTAGAAATACACCGTAAAATATATTATTACGTCTGAATATAGATTATACTAACGTCAATCAACCTTCTCTTCATATAATTGATATCTATATACTTAAGACTTACGCAGAGTTTGCTCAGCTGTTAGATGGAAGTTCAAGGCCTCGCGACAATGCTCCAATGACAGAAGAACCGACAACAATCACCCGGCCACAGATAATTCTTACTACACCATTGTTTTGGGCAATGCAATGAATTAACTGAATACTATTGTACGAAACCGCTATTATATAACCATTCTAATTATGAGGCGCCATATTTGTTTATAATACATTCCAGGGGTGACAATACTGACAAAGGAATGAGAAACAGTTTTTGGTTTGTTTTTTTCCCTTTTTCATATTATTCTTATTCTTTATTTTTCACCGTAACTCGTATTTGGAAGAGATTGCTCTATAGCAATATAATTTTGTGTTATTAATTATACATTGAAAAATATTTCATAGAAGTATGATATTTATATTTAGGCGATTTTAGCATTTCTTTCTTTCTTTTAAACTTTAATTTTTCTTTCACCCAGAAAATCGCATATGTAATAAATAACTATTTATATAAAAGAAAATAGAATTATTTTGAAAAAGTATTTTTTAATTATGATTATTATTAGTTTAATTATTTATTAGCATTCAAGGAGTCATAAAAAACTATATTAATTAATAATTAAAGAGGAGTTTTGGTTTCAAAAACTCCTTATCGTGAAAATAGTTTAAAAGTAAAAATAGATCTTATTCTAGAAAATACAAATTAATCCTTACATTAGCAAAAATAACGATCTTGAAATGTATATCATTTAACCATTATAATTTACAATTAGGGAATGTTATTTTGTATTTGTAAACAGATTTCATCTCTAATCTTAATTGATATTGATATTTAAGTTGTTTTGGTTAGGTTTTAGTATTTTTGAAATAAAATCTATATATAATATAACACATATATAAAACAAAATCGCTTAACGCTGTCTTTATGATTTTCATCAAAATAGAGAGTGATTGAAGTGGTAAATTGATATGTATAATACAGAGCCACGCGGGCGAAGCCGCTGGTGGAAAGCTAGTTGAATCATCTTCGTCGACTTCGTATAAACTATGTTATAATAATGGTGGTTATTGGACATTGGTAGATAATAATAACCTTTTGCTTATATTCAAGTCCTATTTGGAAATTAAAGAAATTTATGAGTACTTATCATCTCATAAAAATTATCAAATTAAAAGAAAACAAAATTTAGATAAAAGATCATTAAATTTTGACATTCAGTTATGTGCCTGTCTCAGTGTAAAAAGTATAATACATATATACGAATTTGCTAAAATCTACATGTGTGTATTTTTGTAATTTAAGGCTAACCTTAGTTGTGTATATTGAATAACGTGGTATATTTGAAAAATCTTACCTCGCAAATTTGTATGACCCACCACAAACAATTTTTTTTAAGTATCTTGCTATATTTGCAATTATTTCACAGTAGATTTGTTAAAAGCCTTATCATTTGACTATTACTAAAACGTTGAGAACAAAAGAAGCTTAACAGTATGACCAATGCACATTTGCAAAATTCGAGGGCATCCAGGTATAAAAACTCTATTGTTATAGATAAGTCGCCCAAAGAATCCTTTCTTAAAGTTCCTTTGTCTTTATTTCTTGCAAATTTTAAAAACAAAATTTGCTGCAGGTGAACCTTTAATAAATTATGGTATTAGTGTGTAACCTTTTTGGTTTTATGGCTGTTTAACTTGTAGTTTAAATTTGTTTTCCTAGCAGGTACTTATAATAAAACACTGAATGAGTTCTTATAATCTGTATATTTATTGTAGACAGAAAAAATACTGCTTAGGTAGCATTAACGTTACAGAAAATACCCAACAAATAAATAGATATAATTATACATTTAGTGTTTAGTGACAGCATACAATACATTCATTTTTTGTATTTTACATATTTTTACTACTTGATCATTAAATTCAAGAAAAATATAACATAGATAAGTAACAAAAATGAAACATAGATGTTGCCGAAAATTACCAGAAATTTTAATTAGCAAGATAATGTATATACTAAACTACTTCCTAAGTCACTTTAGGAATAACAAGTGTATTAAAATATTTGTAAGTAGATGTATCCATAATTTATTACTCTACTATATTAAAATCCTGTTGTATTATTCAGTCAGTTGTATTATTAAACTATTTACCAAGAGTACAGCGCTCAACTGTAGTTGCTGCTATTTTATTAGGTATTTTATGTGTATCTGTGGAAGGTATATATGTATATTTTCTTATATAGAATTTTCATTTTTTTGAGCATATACAAATACTAATTATAGGTAAAATGCCCATTAATGCCTTTTTAATTCCGTGCAGGCAAATGGTTTGTGTGAAAAAGTTTATACTCGTAGATTGTAACACAGTAAGATAAATTATTGTAAAATTGACCATATAATACAAAAACTTTTCTAGTATGTTTTCTTTTAATATATATATTATTTTTGTGTTTATTAGCGTAGCGGTAACATAGGTTTGCATTTTTATTATAGTTTGTTATACATGCGTGAGCCTGTAATGGGTGCTCTGTTTCACAATATTGTGTATACTATTATAAGACAACTGATCATTCACCTTTGAAAATAAAATAATAAAATGAAATGTCACACATTGTAATTGAAATATTTTATAATTATTTATACAATTATATAAAAAAGATTAAACATATTTATACAATTATATTTATAAAAGATATTTATACAATTATATAAAAAAGATTAAAACACGCGATTTTCAAATTTGAATGAAATTCACATATTATTAAACCTATTGGCGACATTTTGCCTTTTGTAATAGCCTAACGTACTGTCAACTGTACTTTTGAATTAATTTTAAACAAAAAAATACGAATTGAATAATATTGTATTTATACATTTTTAAGAATCCGTCTATAGGAATTTATTGTACCTATAATTTCATATTCCACATTCACGAATTTTAATTAATTCATGATTATTTCATATGAATGAGTGCAATTATGATTATTATATTGATTAGGTAAGACATACCACCTATGTTCACACACACACATCTATGTTAAATATGATATGATATAAAAAGTGTGAAAGAAATATATCTACAGGTGATTACAGGTGTATTACAAAATGGCAATAACAACAATGATTATTAACTTAATATTGAATTATGACTCAATGATTTTAATTCCAGGTAAAACAAGTATAGTTATAGGTATGTTCCAAAATGTATGACATACAGGTCTTAAACAGATTTACAGGCATTCATTTTATTATTAAATTAGTAACTAATATAATTTATTTAATAAAGAAAATGAAGCTAAAACAAGGTATTATGTCGAATACCTATGTAACTTGTATATTCTGTGAAATAGACAATCGTGGGTGTTCCAAAAGGTTTACCGTCAAAATATACTTCAGTTAAACTAATTCAATCATAACAATTAACAATTCATAATGACTGTTCTAGGAAATATTTTCTTTAAATTTTTCTAATAAGTATTAATTTTTCTTTACTTTTTAATGTATTTAGGTTACATTTAATATTACATCCCCTACTATAATTAATCATATCAAGACTGTACTTATTTATAATTGCAGTAACATCATCACAAAAATACAATAAATGTTACGTCTAATAATGTAGCTGTCTAATAATGTTTTTTACAGAATTGAAACACAATTTCATGGTATTATAACTTATAGTTAGTGTTAAAAAATGGCCAACAATGTTTATAATAAATTACAGGTTCATTCGATCTGTACATAGTATAAAACAAATTTGTTTCCAGTTGTCTGTGTGCTGATATCTTATAACTATACAAGGGTTTACGCTATTTTTATCAATATGCTGAGTAATTCAAGAGGAAGGTATATATGTGTATAATATAAGACCACGCGGGCAAAGCCGCTGACTGAAAGCTACTATCTAATATACCTATATATCTTTATTTAGAGTTTTAATTCATTTAAAAAAGACGATGTTTTTGTTTCTAATACATCTAAAAATTGCAAAGCCAATCTTTTCATTTAATTATTCGTCAATTAGTTTTTAAATGGTGAGTTTATCAACAATAAGCAATTATAGAGTATGCGCTTAAATCAATTAACCACATTTTTGAACGAAGACAGACTGCAATATGTTTGTAGCAAACATCACAGATAGGTTAGGTCCATTTTGCATTAAACTGTCAGACCGTGAAACAGGCCTGTGCGGCGGCGGTCGTCGCCATTTTGCTCCAGTTTCAATTTAATGAATCCTGGTTTAGGTTGCGGCGTTA